TCCTTTTAACTGGTCAATTTGTTAATATTGAGTTTTTGACCGGTTAATATCCCAGGGTTATTTTCATCCATTAATCCAGATTAGTGGCAACGAATCACGCCGGGCCAAAAAGAAAAAGCCGAAGCAGGAGTGGCAACAATAATAGCAAGGAGAAACGAGAAGCAGACCAAAGAACCAAAACCCGGAATAAAAATCGCCGACCGCTTCAGCGCCATCCTCGCAGCCGCAGCCGCAGCCGCAGCCGCAGCCAGTGGGAGCCGGACAGGGAGAGAGAATAATTCACCTCAGCGATTCGCTTCCGTGTAATGTTTCTTCGTCATTGTTCTTCTCTCGTCGTTGCTCAGTTTTGAAGAGAGAAACCGTCGTTTTGGTACGGAGGAGGAAGAGATGCAGAGACCGCGGCGGAAGGTGGTGGTGGTCATACGGAAGGCGCTAATGTGCGTCATATGCGCAATAGCGCTCCTAGGGCTGCTCTCCGGCCACCTACTCGTGTTCCGTTCCTCCACTGTTCCAGATTTCCCTGATTCTCGCAAGCTCCCCACCGTCGCTCAAGTATCTCTCCGTTCAATTCCTCTCTTTGATTTAGGTTTTTTTTTCTTCATTTAGATGCTTCCGTGATCTTCCGCTGCTTTTTTTTGAAAAGCGTGATCTTCCGCTGCTTGATTCGATTTAGTTTTTATGTAGTAAAAATTCCATCAATTTGCTTTCGAATCTAAATGCAAGAGATTGATCTGCATTTTTATTCTTAAATGCAGCTACAAGATTGTTGTTTTAGTTTTTATCTTTTGTTAATTCGCATTTTTGGCTTTTAAGATTAGGATGCGATGCTGATATGGAAACAGGATCAGTCTCTTTATGTTGAAAGATCGTTTGTGGCAAGATTATGTAGTAATTTGATTTTTTTTTTTTTATCTTATATTTTTTGGTAGCAGCATGAAATCAATTACCGAACGTTAAGCACTGAACGGAGATGGACTCAGGAGCTGGCTCCGCCTCAGTTATTGAAAGAGCAGACTCGGACTCATATATCAAAAGCTCCTCTTAGGACCAGCAAGGTTTTCTGTTTCTCTCAATGTTTCTGTGATTTCCTAAAGCAGTCTGTTTGGTTGTTGAGAAAATGTAGGAATAAGAAAACAAAAGTGAATGTTTTTTTTATTGGATCATGCTCCTCCGGTCTTGAATTGTGCTTTAGTCTATTTTATTTGATGTTAATGCTTTTTTGTGTTTCTAAGGTGGAAGTGGGGGATTGATTTTCTATTTTCTCTATTCTTTCTTTTAACCATTATGCTTGTTACATGCTAACTTGTTATGTATTATAGTAGGAGTCAACTAGAGATGATGTTCATACAAAGAAGTCATGCATCTTTCATGTTTTCACTCCTTTAGATTTGACAGTTTGATGGCGTGAGGAGAAATCCAGATTATGACAAGCTGTGGAAACCTCCTGCAAATCGCAATTTGGTTCCCTGTGTGGCACCTTCTCCCAATTATACAGGTTAGGAATTTTAATTTGGTTATTCTATTCTGTTAGAGACTTGTCTATTGTCTACTTACTTTCAGATTTCATATTGTTTGCCCAGATCCTGGAGAATCTAAAGGCTACCTTGTAGTCAGTACAAATGGTGGACTCAATCAAATGCGAACTGGGGTTTGTGGCTTTTTTCTTTCTCCTGAAAAAAATAAAAAATAATAATGATTCTTGTTCTGTAATCTCTGCATACATGTGTTGTCCAATTTATTATTCTGAAACATCAAAACATAACAAATTTGATACCTGATCCTGGGAAACTTGGAGGAGCAACAGTAGAGTGAGAAAGAATAATTGACGCATGATTCTTTTTCATCCTCGTAGTCTTCATTCTGTGGGGTTTCTTTATCTATTTGCACTCAGAATCAAATGGTTCTTAGGTACTTTAGAAAGTGTTGTCGTCTTGGTGTTGTTATTGTTGTATCTGCTTCTGCCCAAACACCTCAAGTGAGCCAATATTCTTCTTCAAGATTGTTTACTGCATGACACCTGGACATGAGCCAATAGTCTGCTTCTAGATTGTTTACTGCATGCCATAAGCAGGACCTTAGTTTTAATTTTGATATTAAAACCAAAAGGTCCCTGTTGTTTGCTTTCCTTTTCCTTTTCCTTTTTACATTTCCCAAGGCCATTATCTGGAGCTGAATAGATTAACATTCCTGAATTGCAGATATGCGACATGGTAGCCGTTGCCCGTCTAATAAATGCCACTCTTGTAATTCCGGAACTTGATAAGCGATCCTTTTGGAAAGACACTAGGTATACTGTTGGTCCCTCTTTTGGAAATGTTTTTAGGATATCTTTGATTGAGAATGTTCTCATTACTGATTCAATGACTTGTTTTTTTGGTTGATTTGCAGCAACTTCTCTGATGTTTTTGATGAGACATATTTTATTAATGCTTTGGCTCATGATGTTAAAGTGGTAAAAAAACTTCCAAAGGATATTTCACCTGCTACCAGAGTTGTTAAGCATTTTAAAAGCTGGTCTGGACTGAATTACTACCAGGATGAGATAGCACCCATGTGGGAGGAATATAAGGTTGGTTTGTTGGGATTCTATGGCATATATCTGCTTGCTTGAGTTCTTTTCCTGAAGAAAGTATTCCATGATATGTGTGTTCTTCGCCCCACTGCCTCCTCCACTCTCTTTTCAACAGGTTATTCGAGCTGCGAAATCTGATTCACGTCTAGCGAATAACAATTTGCCCCCAGACATACAGAAGCTTCGGTGTCGTACGTGCTATGAAGCCATTCGTTTTTCACCCAAAATTGAGGCAATGGGAAAAGTAAACAGTTTGATCCCAATTGTCATCTCGTTCAAAGAGCTACTTGTATATGTTTCTATCCTGTTCTTTTTAGTAGCCATTAAAATTATTAATTTGTTGATATGTAGTTGTTGGTGGAGAGAATGAGGTTTTATGGTCCTTACATTGCATTGCATTTACGATTTGAGAAGGACGTGCTTGCCTTCAGTGGATGTACACATGGTTTATCCAAGGCTGAAGCTGAAGAACTAAGGATAATCAGGTATGAGGATTTTCTGTAAAGGTCATACATAATGATCAACTTAATGTTTATGTCATTCAGTTGTTCTTTCTTCTTGAATGATTAGTGCTAACTTCTTTCTGTGCAGGGAAAATACTGCCTACTGGAAAGTGAAGGATATTGATGCCAGGCAGCAGAGGTCCAAAGGATATTGCCCCTTAACCCCAAAAGAGGTTGGAATTTTTCTCCGTGCTCTTGGATACCCACAAAAAACTCCTATATACATTGCTTCTGGAGAGATATATGGTGGTGATTCTCACATGGCTGAGTTAAGGTCTCGCTTTCCCATGTTAATGAGCAAGGTATAGGCTTTCATCATTTTATGTTATTGATACTTCTTTTTGAGTGGCTAACATGCTGCTAGTTTTATAAGTTGAAGGTTTTGTATGAGGCCAATGGTAAACAACCAAAAGTCGACCTCATGAACCACTGTCAATGATTTAAGACTTAGCTTTAGTTGGTATATCCTTCTTAGATATGCAGAGATTGATTCGTTGATGAGGAGCTGGACTGTGGCCAAGAAAAAAAAAATGGAGCTAGACAAACAGTTGACTTATTTGGATGAGCTTTTACAATAGTTTCAATTTTAAAGTGTTGGTTATTGATGGCTAGGATGTCATTTTATATCTTATGATGCTTTGCAGGAGAAATTGGTTTCTGTTGAGAAACTTGAGCCATTCAATGGCCATGCAACTCAATTGGCTGCACTTGACTACATTGTATCTGTGGAAAGTGACATCTTTATTCCAACATACTCTGGAAATATGGCAAGGGCAGTTGAAGGGCATCGTCGTTTTCTAGGACATCGTAAAACCATCTCTCCTGACCGGTAAGGCTGTTTCTTTTCTGGAGTACATGATTTTTAAAATGACTTTTCTCAGTGATCGATATTGTGGACAAGTTCTGCCTGCTGAAGATGTTTTAATTAACTGTGCTTCAGGAAATCACTTGTTCACCTTTTTGATAAAATGGAGAGGGGGATTTTGAAGGAAGGCCCAAAGTTATCCAATCGGGTCATCGAAATTCACAAAAAACTGTATGTGATATTTGTTCCTGTAATTGATAAATGCTGCCTTTTTTTCCAATGGAGTTATTTTTGGGTGCTTAAGAAGCCAGATCTTGAGTCTTTGCCATATGTGCAAAATTTCCCCATTTTTTCTTTTTGTCTTTGACCTACTATATTTGTTTATGAGGAGTTGGGCAAAATTTAACAGTAATATTTAAAGCCGGATGTTCTTTGATTGTCGTTGTGACCATGAGGCTAATTCAGGAGATAGAGTTTAGACTCAGCTGCACTTCTCAGGAAGTTGCTGTTAGGTTAGAATTTGGTTCATTAAATTATTACTTAAGACCTGATTAGAATTCCAATGGACTAAAAGGCTTTTGTGGCTTATGGTAGGATGGACAACAGGTCAGAGGATGAGATTTGAGAATCCCTTTATGGTGCCCCTATCTTATCATCATTTGGAGCATGACAGGTTAAATATTAATCTTGATTTTATTCTTGCGTTGATTGTGCAGGCAAGGGTCTCCACGGAGGAGAAGGGGTCCTGTCTCAGGAACAAAGGGCATGGATAGATTTCGTTCAGAAGAATCCTTTTATGAGAACCCTTTACCGGATTGTTTGTGTAGAAGAGAAACAACAAATCTGAATGCTGCACTTGTTGTCAGGTAGATCAGTTGCTTGTGAGTGATTCCTTTCTATAAAGATCCCTTGCTGGTTGGTCAGCGGCACATTTTAAGGCTTCTTTCTTGGTAGTTCGATTCTATACAAGCCTGCCAGTTCCCTACAAGAGTGGGGGCGCGGATTGTGAATATCTTGAGTTCAACTAGCTGGTTTAAGTTCAACACATGGATAAGAACAATGCTTTAGGTACAGGATAAAGGCATTGGGTAATGAATTACAGCGCCTTCCATACCAAAGCACGTTTTTATGCTTTGAGAAGTAGGCTAGATTTCTATGGTTGAATTACGCATTTTTCATTAGAGCGTTTATAGATGTACTAGTTCTTGAAGAAATAACATGCTCTCTTCAATTTCCATGTAATTGTTCAATTTTCGGCTATTAGTCTCAATAATAGTGAAAGAATGTAATCGTTTTCTCACTCCTCTTTTTATTTATATACGCTTACGTGTTACTGAATACTGAGGGAAAAGGAGCTTTTATTATTTTCTAATTAATGCCGACATTTCTTCGTGTGCGCATCAAATGCGTTCTCATAAAACTTCTCTTCTGGGTCCACACTGCAAAACGAAAAAGTCAGACAAATTATTATTTTTTTATGTCAAATTTTAGTAAGGTTATTGATTTCCTTTCTTTATGAAACTATGAACTGTTATATATTTGCTCATATCATATTTTACGTAACTATTTTGAGATAAAAGATGGTATGATGGCATATATATTCATTCCACATACGAATTGATTGATTTGTATTTAAAACCCCAGAATTGGACATAGAATACTCAATTCTGGGATGGGACAAAATTATGCTCCGAACTAGCCGAAACTTTGATTGTCCACTGTAAAATGAGGCTGGCCCAATAGTTTCGGAAGCCCAGCTCACATAGATAAGGAAGATCAAGGAGCAAGATAGGATAACGCACGTCATAAACTTTCGAAATGCATACTCCACTCCACATGTACCCTCGTAGGCCCCATCTAACAGAGCGCATATCTTTCCGCTTCCCTCCATCTCCATTGCAGAAAGCTTTTACAAAGGAAAACAGTTTTTACTGATCTGAAAGCTGTGGAGGAGGAGAAAATGGAGGCAATGGGAGTCTCTTTCCTTTCCACTGTACCTTCTTTGGCGACTCCGACGCCGCCTCGTAGAGCTAATAGATGCATCACTCGTCCAGTAAGTACGCCATTCCTTCGGTAGTTCGCTCTCTCTCTCTCTCTTTATTCTGTTTGTTTTCGTCACCTTCTTCTTCCTTATTGTGTGTGAATGATCAGGTATTTATCCGTTGTAATAAGATTGAAACCGATGATGTTTTCGGCTCCGGTGAATCTTGCTTCCGACGAAGAGATGTTCTTGGAGTCGCCGGTGCTACCATTGGCATGGTAACAGAAATTTTTCCTCTTTTTTTTTTTTTTTTGTGAGTTTGTGTGTGTGTGTGTGTGTTTGCTTTAGTGTTTAGCTTACATTTCCTTCAAAGAAAACAGAATAAATTCGAATTAATTCATCGCGAAGAATGGAAGACGCATAAGCCGTATTTGTTCCACATCTGAAATTTGCGTCGTGAATGAGACTTTTTTGAATGTTTCGAGAATAAATTTACCCTAATATTCAAAATAGTGAATGTGTTTTAGTTGAATCTGATGAAATTCTTATACATTTGCATTTGGAAAGGTTTAATAATCCTTAAAATTGAGACTGAACCAGTGAATTTTTTCAAGAATAAAACGAGATAATTGGAATTTTATGAATATTTGGAAAAATAAATGTGCAATTTCATGAATTGGGATGATGTGATGATGAGTTTCTGCCAGTTGTAACCTCTTCTTAGGAATTACTGGCAAGCTCGGGATCATTCATTGAAGCTGCAAGTGCTGCTGATTTGATACAGCGCAGACAGCGTTCTGAGTTCCTCTGTAAGCTCTCTGAACACTGATTTTTTTTGCTTAAACCAGCAAGAGTCTAACCAATCATATTCTAATTTTCTTTTTTTTTTTTTTTTTTTTTTTTTTTTTTGGTTTTACAGCAAGTGTTAGGAAAACCCTCACTACGGCTATAGAGGTAACTTTATATTCGCACTATTCATCCCCAACAAGTAATGGCAACCAATATAGGATAAGTCATAAACATTGCTAAAAGGAGTTCATGACTTGTATAGCCATATAGCCACATTCAGGCCTCTTGCATATTATATATGAGAAATTATTCGAGTTTCAGAATTCCTTTGTTCATTGTGTTCGCATTCCTTGGAACTGATTTCAGGGCACTCCAGATGTGATTCCATCTATACTAACTTTGGCACTCAATGATGCAATGACATATGATCAGGTCAGACAGAATACTTTTGCGTGTTAAATGTGAAGTGGTTGTTTCAAGATATCCTTTTTACTCTTATTATGAGACAACTGAAATCTAGAAAGGGAAAATCGAGTTACTAATTTTATGCTGCTTAAGTTTGTAGGCTACAAAATCTGGTGGCCCTAATGGATCCATACGTTTCAGGTATATCATATTTGCTACAAATGGAACTTTTCCGAAAAAGAGTGTGTACAAGGTTAATTTGTTAAATTTCATATCTAATCCTCCCTTTAGATGAAACGGAAAGGATCATTTTTCACAAAAACAAATTGTAGAGGAGATAATTTATAATGTTCTTTCGTGCTGCCTTTCTACCTTTCTGCAATATAGATAGTTAATGCAGCTACTGATATTTAAGGACTTTACTATGTCAAGGTTTGTTTACGCATGAGATATGAAAAATTTTGAAAATATCCTTGCTGCTTCTTGAACTTTTGCTTATTGAAATATGCTTTCCTGGATTGATCTTCAGTTACTTTAAGAGTCAAAGTCTCTCTTTCCTGCAATTTAGAAGGTTCCGTGTTTTAGCTTATCACTTAAGTATTAAGTCAGGATATTTCTTCTCTCTATTGCCTGAAGCTCAGAGATAAGCAGACCTGAAAATAAGGGGCTCTCTGCTGCCCTGAGGTTATTAGAAGCTGCCAAGAAGGAAATTGATTCATATTCCAAGGGTGGACCAATCTCCTTTGCAGATCTTGTCCAATATGCAGGTGACACCATCAAGTATTTCAAGTTTGCTTGCATTGTGCTGTGGCTATCAAGCATGATTTAAGGGTCAACAGGAAAAACTCCTTTGCCTGACTCAGTTCTCCCTTTTTTGGATTCCTATGTATAGCTCAAGGAGCAACAAAGGCTACTTTTCTGGCATCTGCCATCCGCAAATGCGGTGGGAATGAAGAGAAAGGGAGATTGCTATACACTGCATATGGTTCAAATGGACAGGTTGGTCTCTTATGGTGTTTTATCATGGGTTTATACCAGTGTTCAATACAAGTATACTTAAAGTGGAGTCCATTTCACATGGTTAAAGTTAAAAGACTGAATTTTCAACCTGCAGTTTGATTTGGTTGTTCTCTGAACCACAAGTCGTGTCATACTGTAAACAATAAAAAGAAAAACAATTTGAAAGATTCTGCCAGAGACTGCGAATCATGGTGTCTAAGTAACTTGAGGAAGATCAGTGTCCTCTCCTGCCAGTGTTTTTTCTCAATAGATAAAGAAGTTTTTGAGTAAAGCATGTAATGCATACTACTATTGTCTATGAACAGTGGGGATTGTTTGACAAGCAATTTGGAAGGACTGATACTGAGGAACCAGATCCAGAGGGGAGGATTCCACTGTGGGAGAAAGCTAGCGTACAGGAAATGAAGGATAAGTTCAAGGCAATTGGTCTTGGGCCTCGTCAGGTAAATTCTTAGCTAGATTTTGACCATGATTACTCCCTTGAGTTCTTTATGTTAAAAAAAATCACTGGTATGCTCCTAAGCTTTAATTTGCAAATCATATAAAACTTGCAGTAATACATTCTTGGAGTTAAATGATCAAAACTCATGTGAGAAAAAAAAAAAAAATTGAAAGGAGATACCATTGCCCTGGCTATGATCATTTTGCACAACTGTTATACAGCAATCAGAGATGCGTTGATTCATCTTCCTCCACACTAAACATTCCACTATCCACATTGCTCGTGTCCATGTTAAGAATCACAATGCAAAGAAGAAAAAGAAGAAGGCTAGAGATGGATTAAATACATGTTGAGACCCTTCATTTACCAGTTTAGACGTCGCAAATCAATGAATGGAAACACTAAACTTCTTTTGTTTTCTCTTCATGGTTGACAGCTAGCTGTAATGTCTGCGTTCTTGGGTCCTGATCAGAATGCAACAGAGGCCTTATTAGCCACTGATCCTGATGTTTCTCCATGGGTTCAAAAATACCAACGAAGCCGAGAAACGCTGTCCCAAACAGATTATGAGGTTAGTTGATCATTTCTCATTTCATTGTCAAAGGTCAGCAACTTAATAATAGGCCTTGGCCGACTCCTGAGTGTGGATAAAATTCAGATAGAAATTGGCATGAAAAATACTGTGCTAGATGGTTATGCATGATGGAAATAGGCACTTAGAATAACAGTAGTTGTCATTGGCCACCTTAATCGCTCTAATTCAATTGTCTATTTTTTCCAGGTTGATCTAATAACTACACTCACAAAGTTAAGTAGCTTGGGACAACAAATCAATTACGAGGCATACACATACCCCGTGCCAAAGGTTGATTTGAGCAAACTCAAATTATAGTGGGAGTGAATAATGTAGCTGAAGAAGCAGCACTTTAACCTGCCTTATCAATCCCACTATTTTTCCCCCAGCAGAATTTCCGCATGCAGGCATTCCTTTATTCGGAGTATTGATTTCACTCTAAAATGAGGGTATCTGTAGCTGCTATAACAATTACTAGAGAAAAATGTTAAACTCTTTGAATTATTCTAATATGTTTTTCCTTCAAATCTCTTTGCACGCAAGAAATTTCCAACAAGAATAAACAACATTTCATCTGGATTTAGGAGAAATATGCAAAATCCCTCCCATGAAGGGCCTCAATGGTTCCGCGATTATAACAGAGCCATCCTCTTGCTGATAATTCTCCAGCAAACACACCAACATCCGAGGAACAGCGCAGGCTGTTGCATTTAGTGTGTGAACAAATTGTGTTGGAGCAAGATTGCTTTTGTTGCCCTTCTTAGGATTCGTTGATGGTGACTCTGATGGACGATATCTAATTCCAAGTCGGCGACTTTGATAGTCAGTACAATTTGATGCACTTGATATCTGCATCATGCGCAGGCTTTAAAAGGTTACCAGAGCTTTCAATTGTAATTGTTAATAAAACATCTTAAAAGGAAAACTAAGACACCATGTCTAATTGACACAAAATTTAGCAAGGGGAAATAGGATTGCAATATTGCATATACCTCACCATACCGTCCCAAACCTGGCATCCACGCCTCCACATCAAATTTACGAGAAGCAGGTGCACCCAAGTCCCCTGTAGCCATATCCAAAGTTCTGCCAAAAGAATACATATTCTTACTAATACAATAAAACAAAACCAGGAGGTTGATTTGAGTTCCTACTTATAGTGTAGTCCAAGAGATGAGAAGAGTTCTTCTTCAAGTTTTATGAGCTCCTCATGATATGAATCACTTTCCTCTGGTCGGCATAAAATGAACATTTCCACCTTGCTGAACTGGTGTACTCGATAAAGCCCCCTGCTCAGAAGCACTGAGAGCTCAATATTTGATCGCAATATAGAATGTTCTTTATTGCTGTCTCAAGTCCATAAGAAATAATAAGATACAAGTGGTAAAACAAAAAGTATTATCACCTTGTTGCCATGCCAGCTGCACCTGCCTCAGTTCGAAAACAATGAGAAAATGCCACATATTTCAAGGGCAACATTGACTCAGGAAGAATAGAATCCATATGAATTCCCCCCACAGGTATCTCTGCAGTCCCTATGAGACACTGGTCACTGTTCTCAATTGAGTAAACCTGTAAACGAGCATAAAAAACACCTACATGTTAATAACTATGAACCGCCAGAATGAGGATATTTTGAAAGATAACTAAGCAGTTATGCAATCTATAGTAGTCAATAGAGGTGATGGACCTCATGATCAAAATGGTCAATTCATCAAAATTTTGTCATTCACTTAAAACCTGATGGTCTACT